GGGGGGGGGGGGGGGGGTACGTACGATTCAGCAAATTTCATATGGAAGTGTGGTTTAATGATGGTTCATGCCGATGAAGCATCCACGCACATCCGCAACTTTCTTTGCGCTTTTTCTGCAATGTCCAGTTGCTCTTGGGTATGAAGATGCACGCTTGGCCTTAACGCCTTACCATGCCTTACCTTGGTATATCTTACCATCTTTTGAAATTAGCCTCTTTTGCTTGTACAGGCTACATCGTGCCACTTTTGTCTTCAAATGTGATGATCCTATGTAGACACGCTTCATACGAAGTATCATGAAACATGAACTATCATGAACATTCATGAACGGGATATTACTCTACGCAATTCTATGCATTTCAACATATTTCAACATGTTTCGGCATACTTCAGCTTGCTATATCTTGCGGTGGTTCTGCAAGCCTTTGCAAAGTTGGCACATGTTGCACAAAAGTAGATGTTATCCATTGAAGCATCCACTGGTGACGTCTTTATATACACTGTTGAACCTTGGTGGGCATTAGCATTCCAGGCCATCAGGCCATATCTGAGCCTGACATACCCTGACACCAGAAAGTAAAAGTAAAATAGCACACGGGCCAAAAACAGTCAACTTATGTCAAGACACATCAAAAGACGCCAGAATGAGTTTGCAGGAGGTGAAAGATTTGACACCTGTGTGGCACCTGGCTGGTGAGCCATGGTGAGCCCTCGACATCCCAGGACTCAATCCCAATTGACCAAAAATCGAGATTGAGCAGCGGAGATTGAGCCCAGAGCCTGGCTCGACCTGCTGCACTCTGGCAGACCAGCTCATCTACTGCCACAACGCACACCCGAGTAGAAAATCACACCTTCTCAGCTCAAAAACAAAAACAGGGCAACGTCGGTTTGGCTGGGTTGAATCTGTGTCAACAAGTGGCAGCATACAGCGACATCCAACAACATCAACACCTCAGTCTATATCTCACTGGCTCTTGCGTTTCCAAGGCTCAGCTCAGTGAACTGGACACTGCACAGTGTGAGACAGCGCATACACACAGATGACTGCTTGGCTGAGTGCTGACATTGGTGCGTGGTGGCTAGGCATTTTCTTTAGCCATTGAATCTTGTAAGTGTTGCATTTATATAGGTTTTTTGCATACAGATCATATGGAAAAGGAAAAAGGGACATGGAAAGGAAGAGACAAGGAAAAGGTCACGGAAAAGGACAACTCTGACACGTGGTCACTGTTCAATGGGGCAGCAAGCCACAACACCTGCCCCCTGACTATTTTAAGCTCAAATTCCAATGTGACAGGCTCAAAAAAGGACTTAAATTGAACTCAAAAGAACAAAGCTCAAAAGTGGAAAAGAAAACGAAACGGAAAAGGACAAGGAAATGAAAAAAAAGGAAAGGAAAAGGGAAAAGGGGAAGGCGAGGACCAGGAAAGAGAAAAGAAAAGGAAAAATACAAATGAAAAAGGAAAAGGCAGAGGAACAGAAAAGGAAAAGGACAGCCACCAACGGGAGCCATTCACTGGTCAGGTGTATAATGCAGGGGGGAAATATAAGAAACTATTTTGTCATATCATGTCCACAGTGCTGAAACTAGAAAGAAAAACAGAAAAACAGCAACTGCCTTTCATGACTGATTCGCCCGTTTCTCACTCATGCTTCTAGGGCAGCTAGGGCTAGGGCTTCTTCTTGACCTTGTGAAGTCGTTGGATTGGCCAGCTTGAAAGACAATGAAAGACATGCTCCATTTGCCGAAAGCAAGTTCCAGCCCCAACATCACCAGCTTCAATGGATAACACCTACTTTTGAAAGCTTTTGATAAACTAGGTGTTGAAAGTTGAAGGTCTGGTGTTTTGCAAAAGGCACTGGGGTGCTCTTGTTTTATCTACCAATGTCTAATAAGCTCTGAAAAAAGACTATACTCACCCTCTTTTCTGATGTGCGCACGTTCCCATGCATGTCTGTATGCGCACATGTGCGTGTGTGCTCACATGCGCATACATATCAGGATGTTGTTTGTGTATCTTTTCGCGTGCAAACGCGAGCAAGAAAGCATCCTTCTGGATTTCACCGTGCTCACTGGTGATCTCACGGACCTGTGTACATCTTTGAGCATTATTGATGCTGTATGGTGCAGTTGAACATGGCTGAACAAAATTGAAGCATGTTATAACGATATGTCACTATAAATAAACATAAGAGCCTCCGCAGCAACATAAAGACAGTCAGAGGACATCATGTAGCAAATGCCTAAACAAACTAGGACATAGCATGATTTTATGTTACATATTGTGGCTTCTATTGCTTTTCATACCGTCCTCGATCATGCTTCGAAACGTTTCAGTGTCCTAGAAACACCTTGCAGCAACATGGAGCAACGTCGAAAACCAATGCGCAGGGTGAAGAAGCAATTGAACAAAAACCAAGCAGAAAGGAACACATCACCGGCTCAACTAATATGAGCACCCAAAACCACTTGCCCATGGTGCAAATATTGTGATATTCCATGACTGTGACAGACTATATAGTACTATGCTTCTTGGCAAAGACCAACAAGACCAATGCAATTGAATGCCAAAGAAGCATCAAACAATATTAAAGATCAAAACGTGATGTAGACAAAACACTGCGATACTGCAACCTTAAAGTAGCCACCGAAGACGTATGAAAATGCATGAGCACAAGAAGTCATTCAACGAACCGTGCAAACATCTGACTGCACCATATTGCACCCAACCAGCATACTCCACCCATGTTTTTAAATTTTCGGCGCCAAGAAAATTCCGGATGTGCAGCCGGCATGAATCCATACTTTCAAAATGAAATTGGCATGAATCCGTAGCACTCCCCCCCGTGGTGATATAAGAGAAAGGAAGAGGAAAACCAACAGGAAAAGGCTCTGGAGTTCTCCGGGTGGCTGTGTGTGGCTCTGACATGTGGTTATTGCGCTGCTCAATGCCACAGCAAGCCTCAACACCTGCCACCTGACACTTTTAGAGCTCAAAATGCAATGGGAAAAGCTCAAAGGAGTACTCAAATTGGGCTCAAATCAACAAATTTAATGCTCAGAATATAATGGGAAAGGCCCAAGGAAGGACTCAAACTGAGCTCAAAGAGAATGAACACGTGATAGCACATGTTTAAGCATGTGAAGACCTTAGGGTGTCGCATGGTGTAATGCATTGGACTATGTGACCCAAGTCTTGCAGGCACATCTTACATGATTTGACAGCACCACACAGGGCAGCGCCAACCAGCTTCAGACTGCAATGGATTGACAGTGCACAAGCGTTTTCAATATCTTTCAAAATACCCCAGTACCTCCTTTTGAACCGAAACATCAGGAAACTGCGCTTCAAAGACGAGAGTGGAGTGGTTGCCAAATAGTGTCCGTCGACGTTTGCCAACTTTCGGCTCTAGACCAAGTTCTCTGGGTGGCGGTGTGTAGTTGTGACGCGTGGTTTTTGAGCTGCTCAATGCCACAGCAAGCGTCAGCACCTGCCCCCTGAAAACATTAAAGCTCAAAATGCAATGGGGAAGGCTCAAAAAATGAACTCAAATTGAGCTTAGCAAGAACAAACACATGCTTTAAGCATGCAAAGAACTTCTGGTGTCGTATCATGTAGCACATTGCGTTATGTGATCCAAGTCTTGCAGGAAAGGTTTACTGCACCCTATGCCACAGCCCACAGCCAGCTTCAACCGCCCCCCTGGCAAATTTAAAGCTCAAAAAAACAATGGGAAAGGCTCAAAGAAGGGCTCAAACTGAGCTCAAACAAAAAAACACATGTTTAAGCGTGTGAAGACCTTATGGTGTCGCATGGTGTAATGCATTGTAGTATCTTGTGATCCAAGTCTTGCAGGAAAGGGTTACAGCATCTTGTCATGATCTGACAGGACCATACATGATCTTTAACAAATTAAAGACAACAAACACCAAGCAGCCTTAGACTGAAATTGATTGAAGGTGCGCAAGCGTTTTCATAGTTCAGCGTCCACCAGGAAACATCGGGAAAACTACGCTTCTAGGACAGGAGTGGCTGTCAAAAGGTGTCCATCGACGTTTGCAAACTTTCGGCTCTGGCGTTCTCTGGGTGGCTGTATGTGGCTGTGACAGATGGTTCTTGTGCTGCTCAATGCAACAGGAAGCCTCAACGCCCGCCCCTTGAAAACATGGAAGCTCAAAATGCAATGGGAAAGGCTCAAAAGACGGACTCAAATTGAGCTCAAAAAGAACAAACACGTGTTTAAGCATGTGGAAACCTATGGGGTCTTTCTATGATGCACTACACGATTTTAAACTGACTGTTTTGACCATGTTTTACATGATTTCTCGGTAGTTGTGACACGTGGTTTCTGTGCTGTTCAATGCCACACCAGGCCGCAGCAACCTGTCCCCTGACCATTTCAAACTCAAATGCCAATGGCAAAGGCTCAAAACATGGACTCAAGCTGGGCTCAAAAAAGAACAAGCGCATGCACAAACATGTGAAAGCATGTGATAATCAACTTCTGGCGCACGTGAAAACCAACTTCTGACGCATCGTGAAATCTCATTTGACGCATGTGCCACTGTGCAAAACTTGGGGGAACGTGTCCTCAGGACTGCTTGGGAAGCTTTGCAAGACTCTTCCTGCCCCATTGATCTCCATTGGTGCATCATCGGGTGGTCGCACAGGCACCTCCTC